TTGTTCCTTCCTGTCGCCTAGCTAACCTGAGATTAATGGTTCTGCCTCTTTACTACCTAGTGGATGAGCCGTTTCATTAGCCTATACTTTTCCATTCCTACATGATATATCTGGGAATGGACACTGGCAGGTCTTATGTTGTGGCCAGCTGTATGAGTCAGTACCTTTGCTGAACTTGACAGTTCTACCCCAAGGTGAGTTTCTGGTGGAATTGAATAATAAATGGAAATAAGTGGGTATAATTGCTGACTGAACAGGTGCAAAAACTTGGTAACACTAAAAGGAAAATGTAACAATACTATGGTGCTTTGACAGCAAGATAGTCATACTCTTGTCTTTATTCACAGATGCCCATAATGGTTCAGCTATTTCCTGTCAGAATCTCTTTCTTTGTTTGAATGTGATGATCCAGGATGGGTCCTGGTGGATTTAGTAAGCATTCATTCTACATTATCCATGTGATGGTACATCTCAATGATTTTAATAACACTCTGTGGATGAACATTTGAGAGAACTCTAAAGTTGATTCTTCTCTTGTTTTTCGTTTTACATGTTATGGTAATCACATTGGACAGCTTTGTGGGGGGTAAGCTACAAAAAGTCTTACATTTCAAGCTCCTACAAAAAATTTTGTTCAACAACAGAGCCATGGACCATTATGTAACTATTGACTTACATTATAATATGTTGAGAAAAATACCTAGATAAAATAGTCTTCAAATATCTTTGGTGATCAACTTACTGTAATATTCTCTGTCCCAAGATTTTTGAGAGTAGAGGCCGAAATCAAGATAAAGAATACTTAGCAAACTGAAATCACTATTAGTTTAGGAAAGACTTGCTAGGCTCACAATAGTCCCAATGCTCTTTGAGTATACCTATGAGGAATTTTTCTGAATACTCCAACTAAACTATAGTTGTAAGTAACAGCTATCCACATGACATTCTGCTGAGGAGGTCATATTTTCTGGTTCCAGGATAGATTCTCAAACTAAACTTAATGAATAAACTTACTGGCAACAATATGTTTGGTACATCAGACAAAATTGTCCGAAACATTCTAAGAGCAGCGTGAGTGATTTTGGCTCAAGTCTAGAAGTCATCGGATAAACCAAACTCATCTCTAATGAAGAGAGATATACTGAGGAAAAAGACTCATGAACTTCTATTGCCATTTAGAATGCACAATATTCCAGGAGAGAGATAAAATATAACATGTGGCCTGTATAGAGGATATGCTTTTGGAAAAATGGATTAAAAAAGTCAACAGGTTGTTAGCATTCTAGGAGAATGCTGCACACACTGATGTGAGAAGTGTTATCTATATATACTCCTCTAGGTGGAAATAGCACAGCTCAGGGAAAATAGTGTTTGAACTTGGCAGAAAAAAGCGCAAGGAACTTATATGAAACTTTTGGTCCCAGTAGGTCATGGGAACCCATTTATGGACACCACATTTTGCATAAGTGTTCCTTAACTTTGAAAGCATCATGAATAAATTTAAGAAGCAAATTTACACAATATGCAGTTAATTAGACCTGACACTTTTTAAACATGTCTAGGATTCTTACTAGAGGACATAAAATGGTGATTATTTGAGGAAAAGTTCTATTGGGAATCTATGAATGTGTACACTTGCAGTATGAGACAGGAAGTATAAAACATGTAATCTGGAATTAACTGACAGCTGGCCCATTGAATGATTTAATAATATCTATAACAATACTGGTATTGATGACCCTATTGAGAGATTGAATTGGTAGGTTGACCACCTGTTTTTCCAGGGGAAGATGATTGGCTAGAGAAAATGTAGTTTTATCTAATAATTACTACATTAAACCCATATATCGATCACTTTCATATATTTCAAATTTCACCACTGAAAGGAAGTAAAAGGATTGTGAACTTGGGAATTACACACAAATTTGAGTTGATATATTTAGTAAATTAAAATGCGTCTTTCAAAAGCAATACCTAGGGGTGCATGCGTGACTCGGTTGAGATTCTGACTCTTGATCTTGGCTCAGGACATAATTTCACAGTTCCTGGGTTCGAGCCCTGCAATGGGCTCTGCACCGACAGTGCGGAGCCTGCTTGGGAGTCTTTCTCCCCCCTTCTCTCTCTGCCCCTCCCCTGCTCACACATTTTCTCTCTCAAAAATAAGTAAACCTTTTTTAAAAAGAAATGGAAACCCATTTTTTAAAAAAAGGAATTCTTAGGTCTTATTGAGTGATATAGTTAGTATTTTGATGCTTATCATTCAACTTTTTCTATTTTATATGTATTTTTAAAGGCACAATATGAGAAGTGATGAGGTTAAGGCATATGAAAGTGAGAAAGCTAGACAAAGTACAAGGGACTATCTAGGAATGGAGATAACCTAAAGCTTTTTGGTGGTAATTTTATGATTATCACCAGAGATGCATGGAACCATGATATTCACCTATGGCCAAAGAAGGATGGAAATGTCTTGTTAGTGAATTAGAATACAATGCTTAACGTTCAAAACTCTTATGTAAGCAGTAGGTCTAGGTTTGTCTATATATGTCATTAAAAATAAGCAGATAGATGTGTTACACCTGATTTAAAGGATTACACAGCCTAGTTTCAGCTACATGAAAATAAACAGGGGAGCAAAAAGCTTCCTCAGTAAACTTGTAACATGGGTCCCTTGAGAACAAGTCATCTAGAGCACATCTAGGTATTTCATCTTCCAAAGACAAAATATGCCCTCTGCAACTGAGAATGGGTCCTGGAAACTTTATCTGGAAGTCTTGGGCCTCCCTCATGTTTGCACTTGCTTCTTTCTCCAGCCATCTCCTGATGCAGCATATCCTTTACCTTTATTAAAGTTATACCTGAGTATTCCTCTGGACTGTTGTGAGTTGTTTCAACTATCTTTTCTTGTATAATTGCCAAATCTTACAAGTTCTCTTCTGCTCTATGGTTCCTCTTGTGTTTTGGAAATATGTTCAAGTGATTTGATACATAATGCAAATCATTAATTTAAGCACTTAGACAGAAGGCCATAAGAAAATATCAATGTTCTTGGTTTTACTAGAATAGCGTGTAAGAATAGGATTTGAGCAGTGATGGATCCAGGGAGGAGTAGCCTTGGAAGTCCTCTGCTCTGGACCCAGGAAATGAGAAGGAAATTTGGGCAAAGAAGATTAAAAAGAAGAAGAAGAAGAAGAAGAAGAAGAAGAAGAAGAAGAAGAAAAAGAAGAAGAAGAAGAAGAAACCTTATGAAGAGTTATTATTCTTTTTATCTTCAGTTTGCACTATTCATTTTAAACAAGGTCTATGATAAATTATGCTTTCCTGCTGAAGTGGCTCCATCTCCTACATGATAAGCCCGGATTCTATCCCTGCCTGTGGCAGTAATTAAATTAGCCATGCCACCTTAAGATAAGTCATTTTTCTTCCCTGGGATCTCAGTTTCCTTATATATAAAAGAAGGGAATTACAGCCGCTGGGTATCAGTACCTCTTCATACCCAACATTATACAGTATTTTGTGTTGTGAAACTCATGCATGTCTAACCCACAGCAACGCACCAGAACATTGGAATAACTGTTTTAAAGTTTTTGTATTTTGGCAAAGAGAGAAAGCATGAGCAAGGGAGAGGGGCAGAGAGATAGGGAGAGAGAGAATCCCAAGCAGGTTCTGTGCTGTCAGCACAAAGCCTGATGCAGGGCTTGATCTCCCAATCCATGAGATCATGACCTGAGCCAAAATCAAGAGTTGGACGCTCAACTGACTGAGCCACCAGGAGCCCCTGGAATAATTTTTATTCATTCTGGAGTATAAATGTTTCTACACTAAGTAACCTAGTACATTAACGTCTATACTTTCTTGTTATCACTATTTTAAAATCATATTTGAATCATTCTAGGTCAGAACTATGTCTTCATTTACTTTAGTGATTAGGTTTTATGCTGAGTGATTAGAGATATAAAATGTATAACAGACAGCTTCTGCTTTATTTGTCCATTGTGTTGACAGAGATAAGTCTACCCTCACCATTCATTCATCATAAAAGAGAAAAGTAAGAAACATGGAAAATATCAAGTACATATATAATCCTGGTGTATTAGAATTTTCCAAAAAATAAATAAATAAATAAATAAACCAACTAAGCAAAACAAAAAACAGAACCAATAAAAGATACAGTAAAACCTTGGATTGTGAGTAACTCCTTCTGCAAATGTTCCACAAGATGAGCAAACATTGCTAATAAATTTCAACCTGATAAACAAGCAATGTCTTGCAATATGAGGAGTACACAGCACTGAACATCACATGATCACAACTGAGCCAATGGTTCTTCCCTCTCTCTCTCTCTCTTTCTCTCTCTCTCTCTCTCTCTGCAGAATTGTGGGTGATTGCCTCCCATACTCAGATGCTCAGGGTCAGGCCGTGGTGTTTGGCAGAAGTCAATGACTCTTCAGAACGTTGGAAGGTGCCCACAACTGGCGTTGGTGTATTTTTTTTTTTGTCACTTCCAAGCAGACTGTATGGACAGTCCTTTGCTTTTCCATACAAGAGTAAGCTTAGGAATGCTTTGCTTCATTCTAGGTCAGGCTGCCTGCAGATAGAGACACTTTCCTCTGCTGCCTCATTGCCAGTTACATGAAATACAGCACATGACAAGAGTTTGTCAATACTGTACTACAGTCAACCTCCGTGTGAATGTATACAATGGCCCCCATGCAGAAAAAAGGTCAAAAAGAAAGCCGGTACGATCACAGTGGAAGTTAAGAAGGAAATCATATAGAAGTATGAACAAGGTATTTGAGTGGCCGAAATTGCAAGATTTTATAAGAAGTTTACATCCATATCTCATCTGCAGAGGAGGAGGAGAAAAAGGTGAAGGGATCCCTCACTTCAAGTGAGATAACGGAATGTGTAAAATGTAGGAAACAGTGCAAAATTTTGTAGAAGAGCACCACCTGGAAAGGCCGTAGCATTGTAAGAGATGAATCTGTTTAACAACAAACAATGCAATGCCACATTTCCACGGAATCCTCAAAAGGAAGCAAAAGCATCATTGGATAGATTCCTTGTTAAAGTTGCACGAAAAGAATAAGATTCAATTGAGCCATCGATAGCAGTGATTCTGTTAGTGATAGTGAAAGTTGTCCTACACAATAACTCTCCTCTCTCTTGTTTCCCTCACACCAGCCGCGAAGGTCTTCAAAGATATGTGCAGGTTAATTTGTTTATTTTCCATTATTTTGTATTTTCTTTCCTACTTGTACTACCTTACAGTATTGTGATCATTTTTATATGAATATTTTTGGGTGTGAAACGAATCATCTGCATTTCTAGTATTTCTTATGGGGAAATTCGCTTTGATACACAAGTGATTTGGATTCAAATATGTGTCCCTCACTTCCTCTCCAAAGTGATTAGCTTCATTTAAAACCGATATACATGTTTCAGGTACATCTAGTAATTTCATAATTTAAAAATATTCTTCCTTAAATTTTAGCCTGCTCCTTTGATTCGGTTATTATTCTTGAAAATTAGTGTCATTGTATCTTAACAGATGAGGCAAGAGAATTTCTTATCTGCTTTTAGTATGATTAGAGGAAATTCTAGTTGAAAATTGCACATAATGACTGATAAAAACTGAACTGATCTCATTGTTTTATTCCTTGCTAGTTGAAGCCTAGGCTATTAGGTGGTTTGGCAGGTGCTTTAATTAGTGACATACATATCTTAATAATGAAACTATTAGTAAGTTCCCTTTAAATAGGCCATGGGAAGCTAGTTATTGCTGAAAATAAAATATTCAACATTACAAATACTTAGGCTACTTTTATCCTGAAATTATGTTTAATAGTTTTGTTTGTTTGCTTTACAAACTTCTATCAGTAAAATAGAATGGAGATTTTAAAAATGAAATAAAATTGCCCATTATTATGTTAGAAAACTTTCCAGAGCAGACGTTTTATCTTTGAACCCAACACTTAATTCTTTACTATGGAAGTGTACAAAAGAACATAGCTATTCATAACTGGAAGCCAAACTTTCTATTATATTATCATCAAGCCTAAGAAATTTGGAAAATTAGGTCCTTCTTTTTAATGTTTAAAAATGCTTTTATGTTTCAGATTAAACCAAAGCCAGCGCATTTATTTTCAACATTTCAAAGATACCATGCTTTCAAAACAAAGGAGATCAGAGGCATGCTCTATTTGGTTTTTCAAAACAAGCACTGATTGCATAACACATTTAATTACATTTAGATATCATTTGTAACAAAGCAGTCATTACATATTACCTATTAATTATACTTTGTGATTGTATGAGATAAGGTTAGGTGTTAACAATTCACGATACAAAAGACCAAATTATCTTATTTACATTTTTCCCCATCGAGTCTTCTGCATCTGTGATTATTTCTGTTCAGAGATAAGCCAAAAACGTAACTTTTCCAGAGGGGTAAAAGCAGTAGTTAGCCACACAAGATACCCTCTAAAGTTCCAGGGATATAAATTAGGATTCTAATAAATCCATAAAACTTCAATATTAAGGTACAATTTACTGAATTACCATCTACATGTTTTATTACAAATGCATGTTTTGTTACGATAAAAATAATTATGAGAGTCTACATGTACAGAATGAGTTAGGATGTGATTTTCTGAATGTACAAAGGAAATGAAAGTAACAAAGGCTTATAATAGAAATTAGACTAATGTCTTATTGATAGAGGGAAACATATTTTCCCTGTGATTTCATAACTTGTCTTATTACCCAGAATGTACCATTACCCTACTATATTTAGGATCCTAAAACAAGAATAAGAGAGATACTTTGTTATCATCCATTCTGAGGCCAGCGATAATTCCTAGTTTGTACCTCATAGGGTATTCTTAAGGATTGTATTGGAAAGAAACTGAAACACACTTGTTTCACTCTAGTTAATATGAAGAATAGTATATTAAAATGAAAGTACTTTTTTTAAACAATCTTTTAGTTTCTTCTGTATGGTAGATTAGAAGCATCGGTAAATGCCTTGCTGCTCCTCTAAGTGAGAGGTGGGCATCACATGTTTTTCCTCTCCTTGAATCTGGGCAGGTTTTAGGGAATTCTTAGCTCAAATAAATGTAGCCGAACTGATCTTTCAGGAATTGCGGGGACTCTGCCAAAAGGGACATTTCAGTGTGGTCCTCTAGGGCTCTTGAAAGACTTTCTCTAGAAATCCCAAGTTGCAAGGTATGAATCCCAAAAACCCTGGGACCGTCAACAGTCTCCAGCCAGACAGCTTTCAACCAAGGTGCAAACCAGATCATCCGGACCCACCCATCTGCCAAGTGAATCTAAAGAGTGACCTCTCTTGGTGCCATGCAGATTTTCCAATCCAGACAATTAGAGTCTATGATAAATGTATTGTTCTTTAATTCCTCTGGGTTTGGGGGTTCTTAAATGAAACAAGTTATTTCGTTTTTTGGACGACTGGAGGTTATCCAGGTTAGCTATATAGGAATCCACCAGGAACACTTGAAAATATCACCCATTCCTCATATGTACAAATGTTTACAATGGCTTCATTCCCATCAAGTGGTTTAATCACACCCCTGTCACAGATCTAACAGTTAATACTTGATTTGGATGGTATCTGGTAACCTGTTAGGTTAAAATATACCTCAGAGAAGGTGAGGAAAAACTGGTGAGGATTTTTTTTTTCATTTAAACAACATGTAATGCATATTGTACAATCACGGAATCTTCACATACACTGAAACCAACGAATTTTTGGCTCACAAAGAATGTAAACATATGTGTGAGTGTGGCTGTGTGTTTACGTCACAACAAAAATTTCATGGTTTGACATATACGTAGGTTGGTTTCGACAACATTTCTATATTACACGTACTTTTATTAAGTTACTACATTTTTTTAAGATGATGTTCTGGATCCTTCCAGTTGGGCCTACATTTACGTCAGCTTTTAGAGTAGACTTTACCAACTCAGGCCTCTCTGCGCTTTTGCAAATGCCTATTCCTAAGTTTAGATAGTGTCTAAATAGTTTAAATTGTTATCTTATGGAAGAGGTGTTTGCAGAAGTTTTCTAAAATACAATAGTTCTCCTTATCCACCCAGGGGTACATTCCAAATCCTCATTGGATGCCTGAAACCATAGAGAGTATCGAACCCTATATATGCTATGTTTTTCCCTGTAATACATACCTAGGATAAAATTTAATATATATAAATTAGGCACAGTAATTAATTAACAACCATAAGTAATGATAAAATAGAACCATTATAACAATACACTGCAACAAAAGTATTTTGAGTGTCATTTCTCTCTCTTTCTTTCTCAAAAGATCTTATTGCACTGTCCTCCCCCTTTTTATGATGATGATGTGAGATGACAAAATGCCTATGTAAGGAGATGAAGTGAGCTAAGTGACAAAAGTATTGTGATGTGGTGTTAGACTACTATGGCCCTTTTGACTAGACATCGGTTGGATGATCATCTGCTTCTGGACTGTGGTTGGACCACTGAAACCACCAGAATTGAAAACATGGATAAAGGCGGACCACTGTGTGCGAATTTACAGGCATTGGAAGAAAGGTAATTTATTCTGGTACTGGATGCATTTATTGATGATATATAGTATTTTTGTGTGTAAGGGAGAATATGCATTTAATATCTTAACTTCATCTACTTATATCTACTACATCCCTATTCACATTTCCATTTAAAATGAATATGTTAACATACCAAGTTACTGTATTTTGTCATGACAAATCCATACGTTAAAATAATGTAAATAGCGACAACACAAATCTCTGAGATCAGAATTGAGGAAATAATCCTGGTTCATATGATGGAAAATGACTTCTTTCACTATAAAAATTTGTTCGGTGCAAATTTCAGTTGAAATGAAGACTTTTGCTGAGATTAGAACTGATAAGATTTTAAAGCATAATAATGGAATCTGTCCATGACCTTAATTACAGTGTTTATAAACCAAGCTCAGTAATATTCAAATTACTATCTCTATATTAAAATGTATACATTGTAATTACATCCTGTGAGGCTACTGCCTAGACCCAATGGGGTGGCTATTTTCAAACTGTAGTTAATCATTTCATCCTTTGAATAGTAGGGATAGAAGGTATTAGAATAATTTTATTTTATAACACCTTTCATTTATAACATGCTGCTATTTCCAAATTGATACCTTTTTTATTTTTAAAATAAAAGGGCAATTTTAGTTATAAACTGAGCTCTTGTTAAACCAAATCACATAATAATTTGTGTGGCCATAAAGAGAAATAACAAAGTATAAATTTTAACTGACCAAATATTTCACTTTCGAATGAAACATGTATGTCCTTTTGAAAGAAAAATAGCTTGTACTCTGTAAAAGAAAGTTTATATACATAGAAAATATTAAATTTTAATTGTCAATTATAAGGACTAAAAAGAGGAACAACTGTTTGGTAAAATTATTTTCTCTTCATTGAAATCACAGTGAAATACGCATTCATAAAATCTAAAATGAGAGTGAAGAAAATGTCATGTTGCCCTAACCTAGAAAGCTTTGTTACATTAGGGATAATATTCTCCAAACATGTCAAAATGTCTCACTTTTTATACTTAGATGAAGTTGTTGATTTATGATTTTTTTATGATTCACCATATTTAGAAAATTAATATCCTACCACATCAATCATCAGAACAATTGTTAGGGCTTCAACTGAGCTTTGAAAATGTACACTTATACACATAAAACCTGGGGAAGAATGTGCAGGTGACAGTCTCATGCGATTAATTAACAAGTTTCTAAGGAACAAAATCACTTATCCAGTTGATTTTTGTGTTGGAAGGTATTCTGTCATTCTAGTCAAGTGATAACTGAAATTGTAAGAAAAGCATGTTAAGTTAAATAGCTTAATAGAGGGGCGCCTGGGTGGCGCAGTCGGTTAAGTGTCCGACTTCAGCCAGGTCATGATCTCGCGGTCCGTGAGTTCGAGCCCCGCGTCGGGCTCTGGGCTGGTGGCTCAGAGCCTGGAGCCTGTTTCCGATTCTGTCTCCCTCTCTCTCTGCCCCTCCCCCGTTCAT